AAATGCTATATGCAAAGTTTTGATAAAAAGTATACCAGTAAAAAAGTTTCCCGTCAAACTTTGTAATCGGAACTTGAACGCTAATAGACACATTTAAACATTTCTTATGACAGTTGATAAATGTGCCACCGTATAAATCATGAAGTGCCTCCCGAATTCTTTGTGTATACTTTCTTTTAGTTTTTGGGAAATGTTTTCAATAGAAGTAATAGGCCTTTGAAAGAACGGAATTGGTTGTGGTCGATAAGGAAACAGACGGTATCCCTTAGGAAATGGAATTGGTCCAACAACTATTTCAAGAACATTTGGTTTCGAATAACCTTCTCTGATTAAGATAACGTGAGCTTCTCTTGGTGGTTGTGTAAATCCATTATCTATATAGTTCAAGACTGCTGCTTTTGATGGCAAATAAAGTTCTGATAAGTAAAGGTAGTTACTCCTGAGGGTCGCATTACTGAATTTTGTAAGATTAAGTTCTTTATTTGAGTACAAATAGTAAAGTAGACCCTTCATTTCTTTCCTAGTGAGGTCGTTGAAAACAGTTGGATAATTTAGCTCATTCGTGTTAATTCTACCATATGGGTACTTACTATTTCTTCCACAGATTTTCTACAGATTTGTTCCCTGAAAAGTATATATTTATATAATAACCGGATGCAATCATGAGATATTAGTAATTTACGAATCCAACATTGAAACAATTTTAGAAAACAATCTGAAATTTATCTACAAGATAAAATGTAAAAAAATATAAACCAAAACGAATATCAACATGCTTTTTAATTCGAATGCAATATGTTATTTTATAATAGTAACGTCATTACATTTTATGTGTAACTTTATATCGTCAGAAGCATGTTGCTTAACGCCACTTTGAAAACCCTTTTCAGTAAATGGCGGCAACGTGTTGTAAGTGTTGGAAGCTTGAGTACCCGGAGAGAAACATAGACCTACAGCGGGAAAACTGGCATCCGTATTATAAATCGAAGTCAAACGATCAATTATATAAACCACTACGTCCACTCGACCACTAACGTCTCTGACTATAAATATATCGAAAAAAATCACAATTATATCTAACAACGAAACATTTTAGTGCATGTTTTCTGAAAGTACAAAAAAGGTTTTTTTTTCAATAAAAAATTATGCTTGGGTAAGATTGATGAATGTTGAAAATAATATGTGTATTTCAATACACAAATCTTAATACTATGGCGTGAAACTTGAAACAATTTGTATCAAATCATGATTTATGTAAGAAAGAGTAAAAACTTATTCTTCATACCTCATTACTTGTTTAAGACTGACCCTATCATGCCTTTAACACATTGTTAGCGAAATTCTTTGTTGAATTAGATCACGGGATACCTGTGTGTTGCAGAACACACCTGTAGAGTATCAGAAAAGTATACACTGTACCAAAAGGCAATAAAATTTAACAAATAATGTCGCAAATTTCTTGACAATCTACCGTAAAATTTAGAAATTATTCAATAGAAATGCAAGGAACAGAAACAAAAATATATTAGATAATTGGGCATAATTTGATTTATAAATAGGGGCAAATAATTACGATAGACTATAATGATTTCGATTAACAGAAAGTAAAAAGTAGACATAAGAGAAGTTATCACAAGAACAAATATGGTCGTGTTAAAAAATAGTACGTTTATATACATAAATAAGGAAATGCGGAATGATTGCTAATGAGACAACTATATACCAGAGTCCAAATGATGTAGATGTAAGAAACTAGTAGTACACCAAAGTACAGTGTTACACATTTCGACAAGGTAGAATAGACAAAATAATGGAAGTGACATGATATTGTGTATACATTTTATATACAAAATCACAACAATCGAAAAACAAAAGCAAAGAAACGACTCTTCTAATATGCATCTCAAAATCACACGGGAACCCGAACAAACGGAATTTGTCAACATCTCGCTGCAAGATCAAGACAGCTCTAGAACGTGATTGAGCGGAATTCTTTGCAAGTTATAGATTACGATATTACAATGCAAACTAAATGAGAACGCATGGCCAGAAGAACTATTTTCCTGTACTTTTATAAATACAAAGCTGTTAGAAAAATTCAAAAAAGTTCCTTGATTTGTGTTGCATATGTATATATAAATAGTTTATGCAATTTCGGACGTTTTGTCTTAAATATCGGAATGAAAAGTAAATAGAAGGATCTTTTATGGACGTTTGTAATAAATATATCTAAAAGGTGGTCCAGGCAATTCTCTTTTACTAAGCATATGTTTATTGATTTCGCCCTGTTGAGATGAGTGATGATAGATGTTCTAGTAAAGCAATTTAAAACAAACGTGGTCAATTTAATATGAACGGCTCTTAAACTGCTGAAAAATAAATTATTAAGCCATGTTTAGTCTTTCAACTAATAGTCATACAAATTAACTGCGATAAATGCAGTTCTATTCTGACAGTTCGTTAATTTGCAATCAATTAAGATATGTCCAGTCTATGTTAAGACTGGGCAGTAGTTATTATTTACCTGTACAAAACAACAAAATACTGATTTATGTGAAAAGCTACTGAACAGTTATTGATTGACTGCTACCTAAATGTCTGAACATTGCTGAATTTTACAAGTAAAAATATGAAATATAACTCAAACACTTAACAAGACCAAACGATTGAGGTTCAGACTTTGCAGATGATGTTAAAACCAAAGTTGCTGTTTAATAGTCAAATATATTTCCTAGTGTTACTGTAAAAACATTGTGTAATTGCATAGTAATTTACGATTGAATTTAAAACATGATTTACTCACTTCTCAATAGCACAGGTTTAATGTAAAGTTGTGGTTTTATACACTTTCCTTCATTCCTCTTTATAGCCTAGAAGATAACACACACGCATTATTAGTCAAATATGTGTCATGTCTGTTCAGTTGCTGATAGTGTAGTTAAATGAATAATTAAATAATACATGAGGATTTTCTCCCCAACAGTTACAAATTATTGATATACAATCAACTGCAACAGTTTTTTGTTGAATTCTTTGTTAGATTTATTTGTATGTAAACATGGTGAGCTGTGGTATGATTGCCAATGAGACAACTTTTGAGTTGTAATGTAGTGGACGTAAGCAATTATAGGCAACTGTACGGCGTTCAACAATGAATAAAACCAATACCGTATAGTCAGTAATAAAAGGCTCTCACCTGAAAAATTTGAATAAATTCCAACGAGAAAATTCACGGCCTGATTTATGATATAACGATTAACGAAAAAATGAATACTATTATGCCAGGAATGCACCAACGACAACCACTGAACTACAGACTTCAGACTTGGGACAGGCACATAAAGAATGTGGCTGAGTTAGCATGTTGGTGGGCGCCTAACCCTCCCTCGATGTGTAACAGCACAACAAAAGAAACTATAAGCATCAGTTGGAATAGGTTTGCTCAAAATATCGGTTCAAGGCACAACAACATTTAACATAAAACCAGTAGACACAAAGCACCGAAATAAGAGTACTCACTATTACTGAAAGCTAATTCAAAGCAAATTACAACTGATAAATAAATCATGTTTTCTCGGACCAAAGTATCAATTAGTACACGGATTTTGTATAAATAAGTCATAAACAGTCTGAGAAACGCATGACCTTGTGCAATGCCAAATACAAGTAAAAAGTACCGACAGGATGTAAGATATTGAGTTTACAAAACTGTGCATTTATAGCAATATATATATATATATATTGTTTCTTTGGATTTTGTAGTCAGTTGTGTGGCATGTCTGTGATGTATGTTTACACAGTTTTGGCTGCTTGGTCCCAATTATTGTCACATTAACATATTATGTATGAGAAACGCATGACCTTTTGCAATGCCCAAATATAAGTAAACAGTATCGACAAGATGTAGGATAATGAATTCTCATAACTGTACATATATAGCAACAAATATATTTTGTTTGTTTGAATGCTTGGTCCCTGTTAAATCAATATTATAACTCAAACATAAATAAAACCTTTAAAATATCTCAAGATCTTTCAGCAATTACATGTAACATTTCATAAATAATCTCGATTAAATGAATACCTTTAACAGTCTCTTATAAGTAAATTTCTTAAACAGTCAATATTGCTACTGAAGCTTATTCTTTATTGTTAGCAAATTGTTTTGTCTCAGTACAGCTTATATGTAAATATCCGACAAGATATTGAAAGATGACTGTAACTAAAAATAAAAACAAAAAACAACAAGAAAACATATGATTATGCTTTTGTACAGTGAGTATATTCAACCAATAATGATAAGCTAATTTTACCTATTAAAAACACTGAAATGATATTTTGAAAAAGAGAAGGCATAAATGGTGCTCCTTTAATAACAGAGTTGTACCTGTATTAATACATGTAATATGGATCACAGTATATGGCCACAATTTAGCATGGACCCGTCTTAATTCCATTAGAAAGTAATATACAGTGACAAAAAGCGTTACCTTAAAGATATAACTGCTTTAACATGTTCAAACATTCATGCAAAATATAATCATACTGGAGAAAACTACTGAAGGGAACTGAATCGAAATAAAACTAATACAAACAGCAAACTTTTCTAGATTTGGATACACGAGTCATATATAATATACAAACTTAGGTACAAAAAATTTACTTTTGCGTTTCCTATTATTGAATTTATGTTTTAAACGAAAATGTGCATTGTGTCCCTTTTCCAAAATCGTTTTATATGTCCGTGTCTAGCGTCACGTTTTAGATTTTAATGACTGTTATCTATGAAAAGTAAAACAACAAAAATACAGAACTCCAAGGAAAATTCAAAACGGAAAGTCCTTTATCAAATGGCAAAACAAAAAGCTCAATCACATCAAACGAATGGAAAACAACTGTCATATTCATGACTTGGTACAGGCATCTATGCATAACTTGTTATTTGCAAACTACTATAATAAATCTTTTACCAAATTCTTTCATAAATGCATTTTTATTTAGGCAGTGTGGATGTCCCTGGCGAAGCTCTGTTGCTAGCGGGAAGCAACAACATAAGGTATATATTTTCACTCTCATTTTCATTATTTAGCTAAATCATGCAGATTGACAGCTACTGACAGTGAAGAAATATTCGACAAGCATCATCATATTATGTAATAAGATCAAACTGACTTTCAATTAAAATAAATAACCAATTTTTACAACCGTTTCTACTATAGAAAATGTCAGATACATCTACATATTTGACAGTGATGTATACATGTAAAATATAATAAAACATAATTTTTGATTAACATAGTTAAACTGTACTTGTGTGAAGAATTGTATTCGCATTCATGCCAAATTTGATGTAAAAAGATTTTTTTTTTTAAAAAAAGGTTTTGACACGACATGATTAAACACGTATACAATTTTGCATACGAGTTTGTTTTTATGATGATCTTAACGTCTAAACGATTTTTATATAACTAGAAGGTTCAAACGACAGTATGTCAACACCATGATTTATCACATACATTTAACATTATGTATGTCTATGTTTAACAAGTAACTAAGTGAAGGACATTTTGGTTCACTCTGTCTGTATCTTTGTTCAGACCGCCTCAGTGGTCTCGTGGTAGCGTGTTTGCCTCGAGTGCGAGAGGTAGTGGGTTCGAACCCCGGCCGGGTCAAACCAGACTTTCAAATTGGTATTTGCTGCTTCTCCGCTAAGCATGCGGCAATAAGGAGTAAGAGCAAAGACTGGTCGGCTCGGAGTCAGAATAATGTGTATGGGTAAGGTTAAAGTCTTTCTGTGGACTGTTTTCCTTGGGAACTAGCAGCACATTCAAAATCCGGCTCAGCGTGTCGGTCTAGTACAAAGCAAGGTTAATATTCATATAACATTAACATGTTCTCGTCCTAAAAATGCATATTAATTTGCCACTGGACTTAAGCAGCCATCCATTGTCGTCATCATCTTTGTTCAGAAGTTGATATTTATATAAATAAAGGCAACAGTAGTATACCGCTGTTCAATAGTCATCAATCGATTAAACAAAAACAAATCCGGGTCACAAACCAAAACCGAGGGAAACACACCAACTATAAGAGGAAAACAACGGAATAACAGAAACACTGAACTGCTACAAAAACAAACGCCAACACCGATCCGATAGTAGAAGCGAAGTATGCATCGCCCCTTAAAAGAATCGAATATCAACATGTTAAGAAAACTCCGTTTGTTGCTTGTATATTATTAGCTAGCAGAGCCATATACTAGATGCTAAAAGGGAAAGGATTTGTTAAAACAATAATTAGTGAATGATTATGACTTGTGGATTAAAATCGGAGAACCAAACCAGGATTTTGATTGAAATTGTTTTTACCTAAAGATGGATGTCAAAAGGTAGTTCTGAAATCGTGTTTCACAACGGAAAATGCAGTGCTATACAAAAAGGGGATTTTAATGAAAAGTCCAATCCCATAAGCAGGGACTTTAAATGTACTGTCTTATTGGGTCAACCTGATTAGACACGAATGCCTATTTGCACATGTGCAAAACAAATTATTTTATTTTTACCACTTGCCTTATATACTTGATCAAAGAATGAAATTCAATAAACGAATACGTCTATGTTTGTATCTTCTTTGTGGATTTGTGAGATTTGAAGACCGTTCAACTAATTTTGGCTTCTACCATGTACATGCAGACCATTAAAAGAGAAATTTGTATGTTTTGTATAATTTCTTCTTCTGAATTTAATAAATGAATATGGATAAACTTCCTTTCAATTATAAATACTCGTCTGGGCTATTCCATGTATTGAATCACTTATTTTGATTCAGGTGGGATAGACTAAAACTCGTCTTTTAAGTTAACTTGCGTTTCAGTTGATGTTGGATAGAAGAGGTTTCGTCTATTGCACTAACAGTTCCATGTTTTTCAAAAGAGAGGCGAAGGATACCAAAGGGATATTCAAAATCATAAGTCGACAACAAACTGACAATACCGTGGCAAAAACATAGAAAAGACAGACAACAGTACACAAAACCCAACATAGAAAACTAAAAACAGCAACACAAACCCCACAAAAAACAGGGGTTATCTCAGGTTTTCCGGAAGGTTAACAGATCCTGCTCAACATGAAGCACCCGTCGCGTTGTTCGTTGAGGTTTAACTTTAGGTTTGATAAGAGAAATGACTCTTACTCTGTCTGTGCACCCGTTTTCGCCCCTTTTAGAGTTCATGCAACTCCTTCTGGTTTTTTTACCTCGATTGTCTCTCCCTAATTGATTTAAGAGATTTGAACATCGACAAACTACTGTCCCCTTAATCAATTAGCTCATCGCAGTTTAAGTAAGTAGATCTAGCATATTTACCTTTTTCATTACAAAAGAAGGCAATCTTGATCAAATGCCAATTAATAGATTATATAATATTCATAACGAGTGTGATGCAATATCGTTTTTTCAGTCCAAAATACAAGTGTACACGTATTATTACAGCTTTTTGTCACCATAGAATGTTCCCTCGAATTGACAAACCTGAAGATCATAAAAAAGTATTTTCTTAATATAAAATACATTAATAGAGGTATTGAATTTATTAATTTGTCTAGTATTTTTAATGACCTTACCGTTCAAAACTTCATACCTCCATATTCTGATAACATAGAGTCACCTATAATTTCTTATTTATATAAAAAAAAAACAAGCAGAAGTTTAATTTTTAACTATACGTCAGTTACATCAGACGTCAGTATAAAAAATAATGCTCCTTTCTTCAACATGAGACTGTGAAACATCGAAGTTAAGATTTGATCCCTATGGCCATGTAATTACATGTGACCTCAACATCCTTCAAGACCGAGAGGTTAAAAACTTTATGAAAAAAGGACAAAAATATCGTCCACCGTCGAAAATAAAATGGAAAGAGTGTCGTCAGGTCATTAAAGATGCTCTTTTGTCCTATTGTAAAAATTGATGTCAACGGGAGAAATATGCCAATCACTTGATTCATATTTGAATAAATGTCTGAATTTTGTTGATATTCGTACATCACATTTCGAAAAAAATGTAGAAATAAATAAAAGAGTAAGTAATACTCCCATTTCTAGAATTAAAAATGTTTTAGATAAATTACGTGCTTTTGGCGACCCTTTTGATTCGGTTGACAGTTTTGACTTTTCCACTTCCATACAATCTTGTCAAATAAAAGTTTTCCTATTTAATTACATAGCTACTGATCATACTTATGAGAAAGGTAAATATACTAGATATACTTACTAGAGGTGTGTTGATTAAAGCTGTACATTTTCTCCTCGACAACATTAATGTACGTTTCAGCAATAAAATTTATCGACAGGTAGTAGGTATTCCTATGGGCACCAATTATTCCCCTTTAATAGCAGACTTGTTACTGTACTGTTATGAATCACAGTTTATGGCAAAACAGAGTCAAGACCCGTCTAAATTCGATTTGATTGATAAATTCAACAACAGTTACTTTTATATTGATGATATGTTTTCGTTGAATAATCAAGAATTCTCTAAAAATACTGCCAAAATTTATCCAAAGGAACTAACCATCAATAAATCAAATATTAAAATATTAACAGAAATAACTATCCTTTTCTAGATAAAGATATTTCAGTTTTACACGAGAAACTCTACACAAAAATTTACGACAAAAGGAACGATCTTTCTTTCCCTATTGTTAATCTTCCTTTTTTGGACGATGATGTTCCTTTGAAACTGTCTTACGGTGTTTGTATATTACAACACGTTCGCTATGCCTGTGTCCGTAATAAAGTTTTGTATTTCAATGAGCGTAATCTGTGTATTACTTAAAAATTATTAAGTCCGGGATTTCGTTACCACAAATTACTTAAAACATTTACTAAATTCTCCAATAGATACAAAGATTTCGTTTACAAGTTTGTTTGCACCTGTAGAAAAATTATTTCAAACGGAATAGCACATTCTAATTTTTACGGGAATGTTGCAAATCGAGCCCGGAAATTTAGAAAAAAATCCGGGAAAACTTATCAATCCTTTAAATTAACTTATTCTAAAAGTTAACAAGTCAACACTGTGATTAAATCTTTGAATACTGTTTTTATTTGTATAAATATTGATTTGGTAACGGTAAATAAAAACCATAATGAATATTATTGTTATACACATATGCACATTCACGATACTATAATCTGTCGATACCGATATTTTGGCATTGCACAATATAATGTTTTTCTCTGACTGTTAATGATGACTTTACACTAAAATCCATTAGATGTTGGATGTGTACTGATTGATATTTTAGTCATAGATGCATAGTTTTTGATTAGTTGTTATTGGCTTTGAACTAGCTGTCAGTTACTGCGAGTACTCTCAGATCTTTACTTAGTCTTTTTGTTGTGGGATGTATAGATACGCTGCCACGTCCGTTCTGAGTTTTCGTTAGATGTTTTCTGCTTTGTATCGATCTGATGAGTTAATCCCGTTTCAACTGATTTTTATAGTTTGTTCTTATGTTGTACTGTTACACCACTGTCCTAGATTAGGGGGAGGGTTTCGCGCCAGCAAACTAGTTTTACCTCGCCACATTCTGTATGTATTTATCCGAAGAATCAGGAGGCTGTAGTTCAGTGGTTGACGTTGGTTCGTGTCTGTCATATTTGTTTTTCGCAAATTGTTTTGTTATAAATTGGGCTGTTAGTTTTCTCAATTGAATTGTTTTATATTTTTCATGTCGGGGCCTTTTATAGCCGATTATACGGTATTGGGTTTTCTCATTGTTGAAGGCCGAACAGTTGCCTATAATTGCTTGCATCCACTTCATTTGAACTTTGGTGGATAGTTGTCTCATTGGCAAGAATACCACATTATACCATGATAATTTAAGTATGTTAGGTAAGGACTTCTGGAAGTTTACTTTAAAAAGTCGAAAGGTCATTGTTAGTTCTGAAATATGTCAATGCAGTGTGTTTGCAAGGTTATGATTACTGTAAATGTTTTCCATGGTAAATCTTAGAATAGCTGATTTTACATTATCTATTATTACTGGTTGTGCTTGGCCTTAAATTTAATTTAGTTTTGATCAACCTAAATTCCGTTTTCTGAGTCGATATCTGAGCTTTTGCTGTGATTATCCTCTACGCGAAATATTACTTAATTTGATGATTTCTTGCTAAATTATCAGGATAATCTGAAAATTTGGTCGAAATAATAGATAGAGCCTGTAGTAGAAAGACAGTGAAAAAATCGAGAGGAGAGATGTTTTGACCTATCTAACTTAGTAAGTACAATGAAAGTATTGTTGATCACGACTCGTGGCCTTTGTAATCATACAGAGGGTCGACGATCAGCAATGCCTACTCTAAAGATTTTCGTTATTTTCTCAAAAAGAAAAAATTTTGTTATTGTAAAAGAGTAGTCTAATAAAGACGAGTTCCGAGACGCGTGTTTCATCTACATGAGCTTAATCAGTGGTGCTCAAATTTGCTTAGTATGAACACCATGTCAAGTACGAAGTTGAAGAGCATTGTAGATCAAAAATGTCAATAAGAAATTGTGCCAGATAGGGTGACAGACATCTATTCCTTGGGGTTGAAAATTCTTCGTCTCGAGTAATTCAAAGTTTTATTAACAGTAAACATGGTAAGTTTTTACAAATGACCGTATCAACGATACATCATGTCAAAACAGAAGTTCTGACTATTGGACTGGTGATAATCGCTGAGATAAAACGTTCATCAGCAGTGAATTAAATTAGAAAAGTGGCGTTCATATATGTTTGTTGTTTGTTTTATAGCTACTACTTATCTAATGCATACTTATTGTACTTTATGCTGGAAATGATGGAAACTTGAATTCATTTGGATTTTTATAGTAATATAATACAGTTTATTCTAAAAAAAAAATGATAAAATAGTCTCAAACAAGAGGCAGATGATACCATGGAAAGAATAGGAAGTATTACGTCGAAAAAAACAGGACAAACATAAAAGGTATACAAAGTGTAACGATACAAATAAAAGATATGTATAACGCGATACCATGCCCTCTTATTTGTGTGTGTGTGTGATTAAGGTACACATATCCAAGAACAAATGACAGCGTACATAACGGAACAATGGAACTTTATTCTATGCAATAAAGTATAACAAAATTACAAAACTCAAGGTAAATTCAAAAAGGAAAAGTCCAAAAAAACTGATGAAACCAAACGCTATCAATCAACGGAACTATAGGAATTATAACTAGTTACTTCTTTGCTTTGTTTTTGCTTTAAGAATGTTATTATACTTGTAATCAAAAACCTGGTTTTGTTCACGTCTTATTAGCTTTAACTGTTTTATTTGCGTCAAGCAATTCAACACTATACTTAGATGTTGATTTTGTTATAAAATCAAACAAAATTTTATTTCTATATAAATATGCACAATCATGGATCTACGATCTGTCGATACCTGTATCTTGGCATTACACGAGGTCATGTTTTTCTCTGACTGTTAATGACGTCTTTACACTAAATCCATTGGATGTTGGATGTGAACTGATAAATATTCTAGTCTTAGATACATAATTTTTTTTATTAGTTGTTATTGGTTTTGAACTAGCTTCAATAACTGCGAGTACTCTCAGATCTGTACTTTGTGTATTGTTGTTGTGGGGATGTATAAGTACCCTGCCACGTCCACTCTGTAATTTTGTTAGATGTATTTCTTTGTATCCATCTGATGAGTTAAGCCATTTTCAAATGATTTTTATAGTTTGTTCTTGTGTTACAAATAACCTTCAGTTTGCAAGTTCTCATGTGTATGTCGTCACGTGTAGCCATGACGTCTAAGCGCCAACATCATGTATGAAGTTCTACGGAATTTTATTCTATTTCAAATTTATGCATTTGTTCCATTTCGAACGTATGATTTCTTTTCGTAATTCATTAGAATCAGAATAACGGTACTATAGTTGAAGGTTTGCCGCCGGCATTGACGATTTGACAGTAGCAAATATCCGGTTTTTTTCTGTCGCGTCGCCAGTAAAACTGCATGTGCGACCGTCAAATCGCCAGTGAAGCGGCAACCCTTCAACTACAGTACTGTTATTCCTTAAATGTGTATATAGCATAATCCCATTCGATGCTTCCAATATCCAGTATAAAACATAAATAAACGATCCATTCTAAGCATGAAAATTTGGGGATACACTTTTTTTTTGTGGTTGTTTGAACACTATTCGTTTTTTTTTTTAATTTTTAGGCTGCAGAGGTAGAACATAACCTGAAATAATCAAATTGTGTTGTTGATGCAATGGCAAATTTAAGAAGCGTTAGCATTGAAGTAACACCTGGAAATGATGAGGACCATAAATTCAAGAAATTTCACAACAATACAAAGAACAAAAGGAATAAAAGAAATGTAAGATCAAAGGCTAGCGAGGATAATGCAAAGTAAGTTACTAACCAAATCTATTTCTATTTTTGTTTTTTTTTCTGCATTTATTTCAAAATATGAATTTTGTTTTAACGGTGGTATCAAAATTGATTTTTCAGGAATTTAACTTTAATTGTCTGGTAATTTTCCGTTTGAGGCATTACTATCAGAAAGAGAGGCAAACAATACAAAAGGGACATTCAAACTCATAAGCCATGGCAAATAAAGAAAAAGCTCATAAGACAAACAACAGTATACAAAACAAAACAAAGAACCCCACCAAAAACCGATGGTGGCTACGAAGAAGACGAAAATGTTTTTTTTTTTGCATGACCTTAATAATTATGTACAGCATTAATGCAAATCTAGCAATACTTAACACAAAACTATTAATTACCAAATGATTGACGATGGTATATAACTGGTTTCCCTAGACTTATAGTAAAATCCATTCTGAGGTGTGCGGGATGTATAAATAAGCAGCTACGTCCACCTGGATTTGGGACGGTTTCATGTTCTATGTATTTTATGGAACCCTTGCAACAACATCCTGAGGGAAAGTAAGATAAGCTGTTACTTTTTTCCCTTGTCCCTATTATTCTATATTACGCTATTTTAATGTGAAAATTAACGATCACAATGTCATTTGTACTTAATTTGAACTTTATCGGGAAAGTGTGTCATAATGGTTTACTATAATAATGAATTAGATTATTTACACTATTAACTTCAAAAAAATGTTTTGTTGGCTTCTTTGTTACATTTAAGTTTATGGTTTTTTTTATCATTTAATGTCACGTTAACTAATTATGTCTGTTTTTGGTTGCTCACACAATTTGTCAATATGACGAAACTTCATACAACTGTCAGACAAGTGCGATGTTTAGCTAGCTATAAAACCAGGTTTAACCTACCATTTCCTTCGGAAAATGCCTGTTCCAAGTCAAGGATATGACAGTTGTTTTTCAGTCGTACCATGTGTTGATCATGTTGATATTGTCGAGCGTTTGTTTTGTCAGTTTTTATGGACGTCGTCCTTTTCAGATCACCTCGGACTTCCCTTATTGTGCTATGTCATTTTTTTTTTCATTCACGCAACAATTGAATTACTTCCTTTATATGTTTGATCGTCAAATATTGCATGAAAATATGAGTTGTTATGTAGTGAAAGTTTGAATATAAACGTCAGGAGATGTGGTATGATTGCCAATGAGACAACTATTCAATAAAGTTCAAAAGTGGATGTAAGCAATTATAGACAACCGAACGGCCTTTAACAATGAGAAAAATCCATACCGTACAGTCTACAATAAAAGCCCCGGCAAGAAAAGTGTGAAACAGTTCAAATGAGAAAACGGCCTAATCTATAACAAAACAGTTCACGAAAAAAAAAAATATGACAGACATTAACCAACGGCAACCACTGAACAACAAGCTCCTGACTTTGGACAGGCACATAAAACATAAAGAAAATCAGTTGCAACTCAAAAGATCGGTACGAGGCACAAAAATAACTAAAATAGAATCAAATTTACTGCACCAGATTTGCATTTCGACAATCAAAAATGCTCGAGGCCTAATATTTGAAAATCCAAAACCTTATACAAACGTTGAAGAGTTGAGCAACCAAAAGAACCTAAAGTTCAGCAAAAACTGAACAAGGTATCAGAGCTTTGCTTGAGGGAGACATATGCCTTAATTCAAAATGGTTTCTAAAATTTTAAAACAGTTAATTACAATCAAAACAATATCCGTATATTCATGCCAGTACCGAATTAATGGCTACTATGCTGGTGATACCATCGGAGACTAACAGTCCACCAGCAGATGTATTGACCCAGTGTGAATAATAATATAAACGGTACCATTTTTATGCACCAGATGCACATTTCGACAATTTATGTCTCTTTATTGATGCTCGAGGCCAAAATATTTGAAAATCCAAACCTAATACAAACATTGAAGAGCTGATCAACCAAAAGGGCCTAAAATATAGCTAAAACCGGACAAGGTATCAAAGCTTTGCTTGAGGGAGACATATTCCTTAATTCAAAATGATTTCTAAAATGTTATAATAGTTAATTTTGATCAAAACAATATCCGTATTTTCATGCCAGTATCGAAGTTCTGGCTACTGGGCTGGTGATACACTCGGGAACTAACAGTTCACCATCAGAAGTATCCATCCAGTGGTAGTAATAATATAAACCATACCAATTTTGATGCACCAGATGCCAATTCGACAAGTAATGGTTCTTTAGTTATGCTCGAGGCCAAAATATTTACAATCATTGAGAATTACATACTATTTTATTTAAATACACATTTAGTCTATTGAAGTTCTAACATGCCTATACCAGCATTTAATATTGAAATGTTTTTTTTTCTAAGGGTTGATCGAAAGTTGTTTCTCGTAATTTCAGATCTCTACGAATAAATCAGATATCACCTACTCGTAAATCCAAGTCTATGAATACTATTGAGTGTCAAGATTAAACACAGAATCTAGCACAAAGAACATCAAAACAAAGCAACACTCAGGGGCAATCGATATGTAATTTCAATAGCAATAATAATGATGAGACTTCAAATATTCCTACATTCTTTTAAGAGGAAACATCCAATTTAGCTTTTAAATGCTCAAATTCTAAAAAATTGCGTAGCATCTATAATGTTTTTAATTGCTATAAGTTCTGGATTTGTTTCAAGAACAACGCTACATATTCTTGAAAACAATTGCACAAAACACAATAAACATTCTGATTCAGAAGCAACGGACGGAAACTGGATTTGGGCTGTTTCCTTGGTGATCATTGAACCATATTTTATCACATTTTTGGAAACCTTTTTCCGAATATGCTTTAAATCTAATAAAAAGATAGACATTGCAATACTGATTTTAGTAAGAAAACTATTAAACTGTTAAACCATCATTTCAATTTCATGAAGCTATAGCGCACGTGTGTGTGTGTGTTTATGTATGAAGTGGGTGGTTGTGTGTGTTTGAAGTAAACCTTTAACATCTATAAACAGTAATGGTGGAGGTAATCGAATATTATCTTGCATTTAATACTGAACATGTTCAGCACTAATGAAATAGATCAATATTTGTATCTTATTTTTTTAAAATTTTTTATGTTTTAGATTATTGTAACGCTTTTAAAACTTAATGCATCCTGCTATTTTGTTATCATTTCATGTATTTTAGATTTAATTCAACTTATTTAAATAGTGTGTATATACGACAGGAAGGATTACATATTTAAAAGTAATTATCTTTTTTTTTCAGATTATGGTCATTGAAACAGTTAACTCGGTTGAAATTTCAATTCGTGTGTTTCCTGTATTACCATCGTTTGAGCTCCAGTATCTGCTTCAGTATTGTTTCTGGCAGTTGCTTTCTTATTGCCACTTATCACATTAAATGATCATACTGTTTTGCGGAATTAGAGAACAAAACAAAAACAAACAAAAACTTTATGTCAACCGTACATTTTATCTATTATAGGTGTTATTTGTCAATTGGCTGGAATTATTCTAATGGCATTTTTACATCGACATCGATTGGTTATATTAGTTGTTTGTTCTGGGAGCTGTGTGCGTTTCCATTAAATACTGAGAAAATTTCATAACAATTGGTTGTGGAAATATTTCAAACAATCACGACAATTCTGTTGCAGAACACCCTTCTACCATTTGCTCTAATTCTTCCAAAGCGACGGACGTAGAAAATCCAGTTTCTTTCGAACAAAACAATATCAACGAATCATTTTCTAATGAACCTGGTAATATTGTAGCTGTAGGAGATGTTGCCCCAAATGGAACAAAAGTAAGAGGACATGAATCGAAAGTAACAACCGTACCTTTGACTCTAATCACGCGAGAGGTAGAGAATTAAAAGGGTCTTCCGCACAAAGAAAAGACAAGGAATCCCCTGTTTTTAAGAAATTTTATTTTAGAGTTGTTTCTCCAAGTGAACTAAAACTAAGGAACCACCAATCGTGAACGAAGATAACTTACTTGGTAAATCTTTGGAAAATGGTTTGTACTTAAGTTGCAGTAATAACAATATTTACAAGCAGTTCTGGCAATTCAAATGATACTTTTCGAGCACTTTTTAACAAGGTAACGCTATGGGGAATGCAATATTTGGCGAAAAAGAGCTAAACGACAACGGTTCCTGTAATTTATATAACTATAGTAAATATAGTTTGTTCATATGTGTACTACAAAGCATCGAAAATATCGTGCGTGATCTTTTGTCAAAGATTTGGGTTCTGTATTTCTATATTAGCATTGCCATTGCTCTCCATTGATCCAAACCAGATCTTCAACGATTTTAATCATGTGACATTTTGTTCTCTGACTGGTGTGTTAAAGGTGAAAATACACAAGTCAGTCCGGTATGCGGTTTAAATAGAACAAAAGAATTCGAACTCTTGTGTTTAGAAGGTAGAAAAGTGAAATGAATTTTGTGTACGGTTGTCAAGATGACACAAAAGTTACTTTCAGTAAAAACATTATGAATATTTGCATTCACGTTAATAAATTTTCATATTGTACAACTGTTAACAATGCAACTTGCAAACAATCGTTTTTAAAACGACCATAAGTCAAGTTGTTACGTCAATTAGGGGGTCTACTTATAAACTGCTACTTTTTTTTTGCCCGACATAGAAAAATCCTGGGAAAAATTACGAATATTGAGAAATGAATTATCAATCGGTTAAGACCATTCCCAAAGTGGCACACCTAAATTTGACATTTGTACGCAATTTCAAAGTTGGGTGTTATATGGCGGGGTTTTCCTCATTGATTAACGCATCGAACACACCCCGTCCTATATATGTAACATCACATGACTTTTTAGTGATTAAAACTATTATTTAAAAATAATATTTGCATGTTTGACATGTTTTTTTTTTCTTAAACAATAACAATTACTCCGACAGTCATAATTTCTGTATTATTCAAAAAGTTTTGTTACACATTTTGTTACACCTTAGTTATGCGGTAACCCGGATTGGTTGACCATTGTCAAGTTGAGTTTTTGGGGTAGCATAGATTTATATCGTTGTATTCCTCTTGTTTGTGTTAAACAATTGTACTTTCGGAATTATTTTTTTTTTTACATCTTGTATTGATCTTGTAATTTAGTTTGCGTCTTATTTCTTTGGTGTCATGTTTTGGCTATGTTTGTGTTCGACCATACAGTATTGACAAGTCGCCAATAGCGTTATCTTGTTATTTCTTGTGACTCTTTGTGTCTTATTTGTTGATTGCAGTTGGGGTTTTTTGTCATATGTTTCGATCGTACAACGTTTTAAAAGTCGACAGTTGCCCGCCGACATGGTGTGATTTTTTTTTCTTTTGATGTATTTGCATCTTAAGTTGGGATTGCAGTTGTTTTATCGATTTCTTTTGTGTTATATATTATCAATACATTTTTATACGATCTTATAGCATCTTACAATTGTCCGTCGACATAATGTGATATTTTTTCTTTGATCGCTAATATTATTCATAAGATTTAATTTAATTTTATTTAATTTTTTTTCTTTTCTTAATAGTTTACCCACAGTCGAAAATTTGTTAGACATTAAGAGTCGTGCATACGAGATTTTGACTTAGTTAACTGTTTTACATTAGACTTAATTTTATTATAGTTCTTCGCATAAGGACTCGATTGTTTTATAGTACTTTACTTAAATAATTGTCCAACTGTTAGTTGTATGTTAGTTCTTCACAACTCAGAAACAGATTCAAGAATATTACAGTTCTTTGCATAAAGACTCACTAATATTAGTTTTTACCTTATACGGTGGCTCTCTATAATTTCAGTTTTTCTTATACATGCTCACTATTACAACTCTAGTAGTACACGAGTGTCTTCATATTTCATGTACTATTACTCTATATATTACTCTAGCGTGTTTTCATTCTTGTTCAAACTTTTGGGGTCCTATTTAGAGCTAACAATGTCGCTACTAGTGCCCCATAATTAGTATTGTTTTTGAAAAGATTATTTTAAGGATAATTTAAAAATTAAGTCTTGAAATTGCATTTGTGTTTCATGAAGTAGTCAACAAAAATCTTTTACGTATTAACCCAAAGTATGATGAACTTCCCTACTGTGCGTGAAATGTTAGTCAACCAATTATTGGCGGTGTTATCATAACTCATGCAAACCCTCAGATTACCTTCAATTTGGTCTAACAGTATGTTTAACATACGGTCGGATGATTGTATCTGCAATGTATGCAATATAAAAATGGCGAGATTATTTCAAGAAAGCCACCATGTAAGAGACAAAAAAAACAGACATCCATCAGTAATGTGTAAACATCGGACAACATAACCTTGAAATACTTTATATGTCAAAGGTTTTTGGAAGTTATGGAGGAACATATTATTGAGTCACCAACTAATCCCACCAAAGTTTTTCTTTGCGAATCGCGTTGTAAACGATCGCAGAACACGATACATTTCTTGTCAATAACATGTAGTATGCCACATTGGTCTGAGAAAATCTCCCGCAAACGCAATCTTCGTCAAATTACCGACTTTGACGTTATACTAATTATTTGCTTGCAATCAAAAGGAAGAATATCTTTAATTATCAAAAGAAAGCAACATCTGTGAAACATGCAACAATGCTCTATCAAAGCAAGCCAGGAAACAATCTCTCAACAAGGAAGCAACCATTTAACTTCAAAGGGGGGTATGGTTTTCTTGTCTGAGCTCGAACGTTTTTTTTCCGCCTCCATCAATCAAGTAATTTTTTTTCAAAATTTAACACTATAAGGTATGGGGAAATCGGAATTCCTAATATTTTTTTGGTTATAAATTTTGCCTAACAACAATATTTTTTCCATCGAATTGGGGATCAGACAATTTTTTTTTGGAATAAATCTTACCCCTCCCCTTTTTTCACCTTTTGAAGTTAAATGGTCGTTCACTTATGTAAATAACCAGCACAAAGACTTTCATTATCTTTTTTCTACATTCCAAGACGACCTTCGTACTGTTCAAACCAACCTTGAAAACGTTGTCCTTACACATACTTACCTCCATGTTATTGTCTCAAGTCTGATTATTTAAAGACAAATATTTCAGTCTCTGCACCCAACACTTACAATCAACCAAGCCGTCGCTAACACGGTACTTAAAAGAACAGCGGCTTGGATTAAAATTGTACTTGTAGACAGTCTTTGGTAATCTGTTACAGTTTTATACAAGAGTAAGTCCTTTGTTGTTAATAATAAAAACGGAACTATTATCATGTTTTGGAAAATGTCGACAATTTGCTTGATATTGACAAATAAAAAATTCAAGTCACATGGTAATTGTTGGGGATGCCAAAACCTTCGACATATTTTGTAAGTTTAAAAATGGATATACTGAAGACCTTTTTTGTGTGTTAACATTTCCGGTTGACTGGCATATTTTATAGAATGTACAGTCTGTTTTATTTAAAATTTATTTTGATCATGATGCTGGTCTTAAAAAGATAACGAAAATTAAGCATATGTTCTTTTAACTGTTCTTGAACAGAACTCCAATCTAAAAAAAAGAGTTCAGATGATCAAGTTCTTTGAACAAAGAGAGAGGGGAAACCAATGGCACTACTATATCATCTCAGCAATTATATCACAAAAATATAGCTTGTGTTAATAAATATATGAAGCAGAAGAAAAACAACTGTGCATCTGAATTACCATCAGTATTACAAATATATGAAGGATACATTAACATCCCTTCTGTTATGGATAAATTTGACAAATTCTGTATGGAAAAAAAAGACAGTTCCTATTGTGGGATAATTTTATTCATATAGATTATTTCTCCTACATATCTTTATATATTGCTTTCTATAGTTCAAGTTGGAATCTCAGATTAGCATCACTTTAAAACATCTCCCCTCTGTTCCATGCCTTTGGTCGGCATATGTACTTCAGAATAATTCCAAGACATCTGACTGTCAGATGTATAGCAGAACTTCCACATTACATTTAAACGTGCTTTCAAAGTGGGGGCTTTTCTAGGATTTTTTTTTTTTTTTTTTAAGATTTAAGATTTATTGTAAAGCAACGCTCAGACACATATATGTGTAACATGAGGTAAATATACAATAATAAACATGATTTCAGCGTAACAGGTAGGGCATGTCAGTTGCTTGCACTAGACGAGGCTCATTAGTCTCTTATACACTGTGATGTTAAGGAATCTATTCGGGAACAATCTCCATAACTTCTTGATAAAACTACTGTCTATCATCCTTTTCGACACTGCAAAACAAAAATTCAAACAAGCAATTAAAGCGGGGGTTCCAACCACATGTTCCCCATACAAACGGATCTGAACACAGGACTCTTCCCCGGATCTGCCACTGGATTTATACATCAGATGCATCACAAAGTATATACATGTTATGATATATGCTAGTATATGAAATAAAGAAAAATATAAAAAGAAAATGTTGAATTATCATTAATGTCTACGAAACCACAAGATCCTACTTAATTGACCATGTTTTCAAATCATATCAAATGTTTCCATTGGTCTTTACTTGTTGGAAAAATGTACTGAATTCATTGTTAGCTAAATAATCAATGTTCGGTTATTGCCTATTCTTTCGAGCTGTCTGTTTAACTAATGAATTGAAAAAGAGGGGATGGATATACGTATTTAACATTTGGCTATATTTTCAACATATCTAACAAATATGTGAGAAATGGTAGGTTAAGAATACGAAATATCTCTCTTATTCTGTAAACTGGTATTGTTGGATTGTTAAGGTATTTCGGTGTTTTTAAAGCACCCCCCCCCCCCCCCCCCTTTTTGTAATATACACCACAAAAACATTTAGTTAGGATAAAGAATCAATAACCAGTAGTCCTATAATATAAGACTTCGGAGGTTCATATCATTTACATTCAACGTTTTTATCGGATTTTTTTTTTTCTATCAAATTGGATGTTGAATTTCATATCATTTACATTCAACGTTTTTATCGGATTTTTTTTACTATCAATGTTGAATATAAGACTTCGGAGGTTCATATCATTTACATTCAACATTTTTATCGGATTTTTTTTTTACTATCAACCGTGCAACATTGAAAGTAAAAAAAATCCGACAAAAGCCTACGCGCCTGAAAAACGTTGAATGTAAATGATATGAACCTCCGAAGTCTTATATATAGTCCTATAATATAAGACCTCTGAGGTTCATATCATTTACTAGTACATTCAACGTTTTTATCGGATTTTTTTTACTATCAATGTTGAACGATTCAACATTGATGGTAAAAAAAATCAGATAAAAAACGTTGAATGTACTAGTAAATGATATGAACCTCAGAGGTCTTATTCAACATTGATGGTAAAAAAAAATCAGATAAAAAACGTTGAATGCACTAGTAAATGATATGAACCTCAGAGGTCTTATATTATAGGACTACAATAACCCGGTAAATAGAATAATTGAAATTGAGTTAATTGTGTGTGAGAGGCGCTTTCTAGCAACTTTATGAGTGTGTATTATATAATGTTACAGTGTAACAAACCTATCAAACACACCCGTAAAAATAACATTATCTCCCCTGGAAATGCTTAACAACAAGACACAAAAAACTGCTACCTTTTTTTGCCCTATATCACATAATTATGAAAACACATTAGATAGATAGGGGATACTGTGGTTGTGTACATGTTTGAATGTGTAGGTGGCACACTCAGAACGATCGTCTCTAGATTTTTTTAAAAATTTCTACCATCGGTTTCCGGGTTCTCGTAGCAACACGTTTCTTTCCCTTCCAGCTATTCCTGATTATGAATTTATCTAAAACATGCATTTATCCTAAACCAACAACTATTAAACAACTCACCTATACCAATGGGGATCGTCTAATTCCTAACTGATTCCTTTAATCGTACCTGTCCTGACGACACCCATCGTTGTCGCGTCTACCATTGGAGTTAGCGAAATTACATGATTTGACAGGAGAGCGAAATAAACAAGGGGAGCAATTTTATCGAACCGCATCCCGGACTGAAGTAGAAGCGTGCAAGTATCTTTTCGTTGCTTTCTTTGTATTACATGGATCTATATTGATAATAACAAGACATGTTTGGAAAGTAAATGGTTATAGAATGAGTGAAACAGCCTGGTAAAGATACAGAACATAAATATGAGAAAATATTTCAAAATAAACCTCTGGTGTATGTGAAATTATTTGATAATACTTTTGTTAATACATGAATATGCAAGACGTTGCAAATGTTTGTCAATATGACAAATTATCACGTACCGCAAATTTATCGATATTATAAACAAAACAGATGCTAAACTAATTTGACAACTTTTCGATCATTTTGAATCTATTTAAGTTGGAGACTGATTTTTGAAGAAACGTTCTAAGATAGATTAACTAATATAGTGATAGAGTGTAAGCCAACTTAAAGGATGTTCGACTAAGTCAAACACAAAGAATGTATTGACAATCTAAGAGTAATTCCGAGTTATTTATTATATAGATTTTTATTTTGTTTCCTATTATGCTAAACAAAGGTATTATATACTTAAGAAAGTCAAACACGAATAAAAATGTAGAGGTTATGCATTTTAATCGGTTTGCAGTCGAGTTTAAGCAACAACACGAATTTAAAGTGAAAACTAACCGTTATACAGAATAGATAGTAATAATATACATTTTTTATCTGCAGGGTATTTGTGTCACATTTTTTCTGTGGAGTTTTTTTTTTATCTGCAGGGTATTTGTGTCACATTTTTACTGTGGAGTTTTTTTTATATACATCATTATACTCAACCGCCGGAGAGATGATGGAGAATATGACATAGTCCTGGAGGTTGTAATCTTTTAATTTTAAGGTTATATCTGACTAATGCAAAATATCAGTAATATAGTCCAATGTGCTAAGAGATGACAATAAAAAATATCATTTCTGTCACGTTTTAGTACTTGATTTTAAATAAATTTCATAAACACAACAACATATGTACCATAGAGGGCAATGCAGTCTGAGTGCATGATTTGTCAAATGGACTATTAGCGATTTAATTTGATACTCGAAATATTGGGAAAAATTCATAAGGGGAAAGATAAAAAGGCAAATATTTGTTGGTTTTTTTTTTAAATAATTACAAAAAGAACTCGTATTTCTCAGAATTCATCTTAAGTGAGAGTATAGCGCAAACATGATATAACCACAAACAAAACAAAAACCAAATCCGGAACAGTCCTTGTTTTTCAAAGATGCTTAAATTCTAATAACATAAACGGTACCAACTTTTCTGCACCAGATGCGTATTTCGACAGTAAATGTCTCATCAGTGATGCTCGAGGCCAAAATATTTGAAAATCTAAAACTTATAACAAAAATGAAAAGCTTATAAACCAAAAAAAAAATGTATAGCCAAAGTCGGACAAAAAATCAGAGCTTTGCATGAGGGAGATATATTCCTTAATTGAATTAAATTAATTTCCAAAATTTTGTAATAGCAAATTTTAATAACGCAATAACGCAATATCCAATATCCGTGCCAGTACTGAAGTATTGGCTACTGTTCTGATGATACCCTCGGGACTAACAGTCCAACAGGAGAGGTATCGACCAAGTGGTATTAAGAACATTAACAGTACCGTTTTTTTCTGCAAATGATGCGCATTACGACAATAAATATTTCTTCAGTGATGCTAGAGGCTAAAATATTTGAAAATCCAAAAAAAATAAGAGTTTATAATCCAAAAAGGACACAAAGTATAACCAAAGCTGGGCAAGAAATAAGTGCATTGCATGAGGAAGATATATTCCTTAATTTAAAATAATTTCCACAATTTTGTAACAGGAAATTTTTTTAACACAATATTCGTATTTTCATGGACACGGACAGGTGATACCCTCGGATACCCACGAGCAGAGGTATCAACCAAGTATAAAAGGTTATGGGGAGTAAGTTGGTACTGTGAGAGAATGTTTTGTGCCAGTGGTTAGGTTGTGCTTGGTGATAGGGGTGTAGGGGGGTGGGGGTTCCTGATTCTGTACTAAGGGGTTTGATACGGCAAGAATAGCAACCATGTTGTGTTGTTGATTACTTTTCCACTTGTACATTCCGAGGTATATCAAAACATATTTTATTGCAAAGTCGCATAAAAAATAGTTCTGATAATGTCCTGGCGATGGGAAATGTGTCCGTGTGCTGTGCACTGGTGTCCTGGTACTGTGTTCTTTTTTATTTGAGTAAAAAGTGGAAAATATTCATGCTCATTGTTGCAGATCAAAATTTGTATAATTGGTAGAAAAGACTACAAGCATATATTTGGTTGCTGCATTATGTGAGTTAAGGAAAATTAAGTCCATCTTGTACATTTTAAATTTTGTAATAAAAATAAATGCATTTAAATGGCAATTGCATGGCCATGAAGAAAAGTGCAAAAAACCTTATGGTCATTTGAATTATAAAAGCATTAAGCTAAAATGTTATCCTTAAATTCGATTGTCTCAAAGTATGAATCTAACATATCGCACGAAGGACACAATTTGAAAAAAAAATATTTTAATTAAAATGGTGCACAAAAAAAGAAACGTAATGATATACAGGCTATGTCATCTTTAAAACGAGGATTAAGGAGAAGGGGGGAAGGGGGGAGGGGGTGTAAAAATCTAATTTTCAGTTTCTGCTACAGAAATAAATTACAATCAATAGTCTTAAACATTTCTTGATGCAATTGCAAATTGGATTCGACTTAAGCATACCGGAACGCGTTTTTTGTCTGGCAAGGAATTAAAAGAGATCTGATTACGTGTTGTACTTTAGATATTTTTGTTATCTTATTAACGAACTAGCGTCTTGTCTTCGCGCTTTAACAACACAAATTAACCGATGCCAAAATAGGATTTCTTTGGAAAAATGTATTGATAAATAAAGGAACAACTACATGTATCATAATGTCTGTTGGAAATTTTGAGGTCAAAAATATATCCAAATAGATTCATACTGCATTGTCCAACTTTCTGTGATTATGTTCTTTTTGGTCGTATAACACTTGACGGGACTCGGTATTTGTGCATCCATCTATCTGGATTTTGGCTTTGGACGTTCCTGGTGCAGAAGGGTCCAGAGGTGTGATTCGGACGTAAGAAGTTTTTGCAGTGTTGTTTTCATTTTGTTTACCCTTGTATTTATATTTTAGTTTGTTTGTACTTTATTAGGCAAGTGTATACTAGTCCGGCATAAAGTTTTAGTATACTGTATGTACTATCAACTAGACAAACTTTTTTGTTGGGGTCTTTGTCAGATTTATTTGTATGTTTGTTTGAATAATTAAGTCAGTTTTTATGAACTTCCCCATTTTTAGAATTTACCTTGGAGTTCGATATTTTTGTTAATACTTTTGTATATTATAAACTATAAATGTAAGCAAACGGTATAATGAACAAAAAAGCTAAGTCGTACTACAATACCTTATGTAGGGACATAAACTCAGATTATAATATGTTGCTTTATTACTTTTGGAGGGTTTTATATCGTCATCCAATTTATAAAATGATACTATCCTAATACGAAATCTTTTTTAACAATGGAATTCCATAGAAGTGTAATTAATGCTATAAATAACTATAAACAGGCCAGGTTGGGAGGAAAACTTTAAATCATATTCTGCGCCATTTTTCGTCATAATGAGACACGGTATCGTGATTTTTTTTAATTCACCTTGACACTCTTCAGCGTTTCTACATTATAACGTTTTTGTTTAAAGTTAGATATCATTGTCATATGGAGACATAAATATATCAAACAAGTTGGTATACGAGATAAAACTAATATGTGTTTAAGAATTTAAGAAGCTAACATATACTAAGAAACATAGACGAAGGCTACAAGTGATGGAAGAATGTCAAATCGATAGAAAGAATTATGCACCCAAACCAAACCAATCATACCTAATATTATAATTTTATATATAGATTTACAGTAAAATATACTTGAAATGTTTATAATGATGTAATATTTTTCTTACTTGTGAAATGTAATCGTTTTTAATACTACATTACATTTCTTTTAGATTTTATAAGCATGCTGTGCTACAATGTGGCATAAAACAGAAAAGAAATGGAACAGCTTTTGCAGTTGATTTTTAATTATATGTTTTGATCATAAATTAAAACTTAATTAGTTACACAATTAACTATACTATAACAACAGATATGATGATACTTATCATTTTTCCACTTTAAATTCATTAAACAATTTTTAATACTAAATTTATTACATGTATTACACAAATATAGCTTTAGATGGTTGGATCAATCAATTGTCATTATCCTACAAGTGACATATGCTGAAACGCCTTTTCTGGTCACTTATGGATGTTTCCATATCATCCTGCATATTCAAAAGAACGTATTCCCTCATCCTAGCTTTTACAGCCACACAGCAGAAGTCCGCTGTCCATATTTCTAAATTTTATGTCGCTCAGTCTTGGTTTGATATGTAGTGTTTTGTATGCTTTTGTTTGTCTTTTCGTCGTTTTTTTTGTTTTTTTGCCATGACGTTGTTGGTTTCTCTTCGCCTTTTGATTTGTGTATTTGTGAAAAAGAACATTACTAAAGAATTAAAATATTTGCCAAAAGATGTCTTTAACATACATATATGTCGATGCGAGTAAAACATCATTTTGGTTGAGAATTTCCCTCAGAAAGTCTTTTTTTTTTTTTTACAAAACAAAATCTCCATTTTTGTCGCTCATCCTTTGATTTCAATGTTGTAAATAAGACTTTAGTCAAACTGAAATCAAAATTGACATAGCTGCACTAAAGTGATCGGACTGAACCATTGTAATAATCTACCATCATGACCATGAATAAGATTAATATGTTGTACTGTTTTTGCGATTTCAGGAAGTTTCTCCTCTTTTTATTTAACATCAGCATTCGTAAATCCTGTAGGACTGGTATGTCATTAAGATAGACGAAAACAATTACACTCGCTCTGAAAGTTGCAATAGATACATATTTTAAAAATCG